GAACGACACCCGGCTGCAGGGTCCCTTCCTCCGTTCTGGACTCCCTCAGTCTGGCGAGTACAGTTTGGAAGTGACGTCCAACGATAAGGACTTTCCCGTCACCGCATCTTGTCCGATTCGAGCCGTCCCACCATTGGCGCCCACCGTGATCCATCCTATCAATCACAGCGGGACCGTGTACTTCCTCCCCAATCAGACGTGGATTCTCGTGGCGGTCCGCTCGCAGCACGACGCCTCGATCGAGCGGGAGGGCGGCAACGCGACCGTAGCTTTCCGCAGCTCGTGTCCGCAGCACCTGGTGGCGAAAGTGGCCGAATGCAGAAGGCCCGGCCCGTTCAACGACACCATGTTCGCGTGGGTCGACCTCCAGCTCGGGTCCACACCGGGACAGACCGCCGTAGTGCTTCGTGTCAAGAGCGAAGTTACCGAAGCATCGCTGCAGATTGAAGCGAGGGTGCAAGAGCGACTCCGGGGCCTGGTTGTGCATCCGCATCCTGCGCACAGAGTCCTCATGGAGTCCATAGTGGTACGTGACGCCCTCCCTTCTGAGGAACCCCACTTAAACCAGGGGGTTTGATGGTTTTCGCCTGGGTTTGTTGTGTACAAGGAAAGATTTCGGCCAGTAGAGTTGTTGATGCTTGAATTTTCTTTATTCTCTATTACCCGTTTTCCGCCAAAGCATTTTGAGAGCCGGTTCGGAGCCGGTGCCTGCGTGCGAACCAGTTTTTTGTGTTTCGACAGCCAAAGAACTGGTTCTCGGCCAGGAAAACTGGTTCCAAAGCGGCACCAACTCTGTTTAGATTTCTTTTCTGACCATAATATAGGATCGCAAAGCCAGGAAAAACATTTGCAGAAACATGATGGAGTCCGCATTTGTAATTGTTATGCTTGAAGTTGATGCAAGCGTTTCTATTTTTATTTTTTTATTGAAAACATTATGAGCTAAGAAGAAAACAGGCACAATATAGAACAAATAAATGGAAAGGAAAAAAAAGACACTAGACAGGGGTACATAACTAATCAGAAAAGATTACATATCAAACGAAAAGATTTAAAGACTTACATATTTCAATTGTTTTTAAAGCCTTCTTGGTACACGAGTTAGGCCGTGTGTCCACCAAAGCGTTTTTCCACGCCCCTGACGTAAGTTTTCAATTGTTTTCAATGGGAGCGCCGCGTTTTTTAAACACCATGAGCGTACCGAGGCGCTGAGCGTTTTTTTCACGCTAAATCACCGAGCGCCCGCCGTTTTTACTGTTCGCTGGGAGTTGAAAAATGTTCAACTTTGGATAAAACGCAGCGCTCATCACTGTCACTTTTTACCCAGCCGTCCAATCACAGTGGAGGAGGGGCGGGACTAATACCACAGCGACCAACTGTCACAACATTCAAACTGCTGCGGATATTCTGTATCATAGCAACGAAAAAACTCAACGGAAAAAACGCTGCGCTGCCAAAACGCTCTCAAGCGCCCAAAGCACGGCGTCTTCAGCAGAGCGTCTAGCGTTTTCAGCTGGCTAAAAACGCTTTGGTGGACACACGGCCTTAGAGATAATCCCAAAGTAATGTTGTACTTGCAAGTTGAACCAACTCCGAACCAACTTTGAACCAGCACCAGTTCCGAACCAGTTTTGTTTTGGTGGAAAAGAGGTATATGACTTTACAACTCTAAGTTGTGTGGGGAAAAGGGAATGGGGATGATTGCAGTATTGTAACTTCCACATCATATGATGTTCCACATCATAGTTCCTTTATCCTAGGAACTCCAATGAGCCACGCCCACTACAACAGGATATGTCCATATATGGAAATATATGTCAGACAAATGTTAAACTGGTTACCCAGCACTAAAAACCATCAAAGGAGACCAGATAGGCACCTTAGGCTGGTTTACGCCATTTTGTCAGCTTGACTTTACCTTCTACATATCTGCTGCCTAGGATTGTGTATCACTGTTAAAGGAGAACTCCAGCGCAAAAATGAACCTTTGGTCTAATAACACATCGGTACCTAGTCCACCGTTCTCTGAGATTTGTTTTCATGATAATCGAATGTAAAGAGTTTTATCTCTGAAAACTGTTTAGCGTATAATGCTAGTAATGGGGGCATATATCAAGTAAAGAGAAATCGCTAGTTTATACCACTAACAAGGCTCAAAACAGCCCCACATTAACACGGTAACATAATGAGGGTCCATACATGCAAAACGAAGAACTTTGTAAGTGTACAGACCAGTATTAACTAGCGATTTCTTTTTGCTTGTTATATGCCCCCATATACTAGCATATACGCTAAAAAGTTTTGAGAGATAAAACTCTTTACATTCGATTATCATGAAAACAAATCTCAGAGAACCGTCGACTAGGTACCAATGTGTTATTAGACCAAAGGTTCATCTTGCGCTGGAGTTCTCCTTTAGTATTTTAGAAACCACTTAAATCACGTGGGATTAAACTGGTTTCTAAACACTAAAATGCATGCTAAAAGTCATTTCTACTGGCATATCTTGAAATATGTCAGTGTCATTGTTTTGTCTACGTTTATAAAATGTCCTAATTAAACTAAGGCTTTATCTAAGCCCTGTCTGTGAAACCAGGCCTTAGAGTCCAAGAATAGAGTATTCATTGCTTATATTTTATGTCTGTCCATAAAAGATGTCTGTGAGAGAGAAGCGGGTCTGAAGGTTTAGTTCTTTATCCAGCATGTCGCGTTTGTTACGGCCCTGACCTTTCTCGCTTGCTCTTACGTTTCAGAGTTACGTGGCGTCCGTGGAGGAAGGGTCGGACCCGTCGTTCAAATGGACAGTGGATGATAACCCGAACTTCACGTACTACAGCAGCAATTTAAACATCATCTACCAGATTGCAGGAGTTTACAAACTCGTGGTGACTGGTTTCCATTGAACGTATGTGTAAAAGCCACACTGACTCCATCAGCTCAGAAACTGACCCATCTCTTGTCTCCAAGGTAACGGCGATGAACCAGGTTAGCATGCTGAGTGAGCTCTTCAACGTGACGGTGGACCCCATGAACCCGATGACTGTCCCCGCCGTCCATGGAGTCCCCAGAATCGTGCAGCAGGGTCTGTCCCTGAACCTCTCTGCGTCTGTGAAGATAGACATGGCGGTGAACGTCACCTTCTGGTATGTTCTGTTACGAAATGACAGATTCGAGGTCTAACGACCTCAGCAGAAAGCTTAGTCCATTTAAATTAGGGTTAAACTGTGTAATGCAGTTTCTTTAATATGCAGTTTAATGCCTGTCATAAAGAATGCAGCAATAATAGCAAATAATCCCTAACATTGGGATACTTTGAGATGAAACGACCAGTTTATTCCTGACGGATAAAATCAAGTGCTTTCGTGCATTTTTTTTTTTCTTATTGAATATCATGTTTCTATGGAAGCTTGTTTCTGCCACAGAATAAAACATTTTAAATGATAATTGCGACTTTTTATTTCTCAGAATTGCGAGATTTAAAGTCACAATTGCGTGTTATAAAGTCAGAATTGTGTTATAAAGTCACAATTGTGTGTTATAAAGTCACAATTGTGTGTTATAAAGTCACAATTGTGTGTTATAAAGTCACACAATTGCGTGTTATAAAGTCAGAATTGTGTTATAAAGTCAGAATTGTGTGTTATAAAGTCACAATTGCGTGTTATAAAATCACAATTGTGTGTTATAAAGTCACAATTGTGTTATAAAGTCACAATTGTGTGTTGTAAAGTCACAATTGTGTTATAAAGTCACAATTGTGTGTTATAAAGTCACAATTGTGTTATAAAGTCACAATTGTGTTATAAAGTCACAATTGTGTGTTATAAAGTCACAATTGCAAGATCTAAATATTGCGAGATATCACAATTGTGACTTTTTTTATATACTTGTGAAGTTTATATCTCACAATTCTGACATCTTTTCTCATTTCAGACTTTTTTGCAAGTTATACAGTCCAATTGTAACGAGTTTAAATCTCACAATTCTGACTTTTTAACACTAAATTGCGACTTTATATCATGCAATTCTGACTTTATAACTCGTAATTGCGAATTTTGAGTTGTAAACTCGCAATTGTGGGAACAAAAGTCTGAATTATAAGAAAAAAGTCGCAATTACCTTTCGTATTTTTCATTCTGTGGCGGGAACAAGCTTTCATACCTTTTTTCTTTGAAATATGTGACATAATGGAAGTGAAATAGGTTGTGAATGCTCTCTTTGAATAACTCTTCTTAGACTGCTTTCTACATTCGCGTCCCATGATCCCTGTTTAATGTACTCGGTCTGCACACACTCTTTTTTTTATCTTCTCCATGGCTTCCACGGCCTCACACACTCCCAGCCTGCTCCCCTTTAATGGCACTTTTCTCTAGATTTACAGTCTGTGGTTAGCGCAAAATGCTGACAAGAATTTTCCCTTCAACGGCGAGCGTAGAAAGATTCCCAAACTTTCCATCCCATCCCCCAGAAGCCTGCTGCGCGCCACTGCAGATGTCTACTTTATTTATTTATTTCATGGATTTCTCTATTTATTGTCAAAAAAAAAAAAAAGGAAAGTCTTTCACTGTCGGGTCGGGTGGTTTCTTCCCGACTCTTTTATCTTGCCTGCTCAGTATCTCTGGAGTTCAGCCCTCGGCTTGTTCAGTCAATCGTGATACCAGATTCTCCTTTGGGTTCCACTTTCATGGAGAATTTGGGGATACGATGCAGTGAGAGATGAAGGTGTATAGCCGGGAGCTGAGCCGGTGATTCAGCAGCAGCTCCACCTCCCGCAGCGATGAGTCAGACAGCCAGATTGCAAGACATTGCTTTATTCTCTCCAGCTAAAAATATCTTCAAAACAGACCTGCCACCTTGCTCTCGCACATTCCCGAGGCACCAAAAGAGGCTTAAAGTGTGCTTTCCCCCCATCCATTAGTCCCCTCTTTATACTGCAAAAACTTTCTTTAAAAACCAGAGTTTACTTCAAGCCCTGTCTTTTTTTCTATATTGAATATCTT